TATCCATATGGATGTAATAATCATGAAGCAACAGATTTCAAGAAAATATTCATGCAAATCCTTAATAATTTGGGCAAAAAATGTTGGAGTAGATGATGTCATCTACTCAATCCTTTTGTTCTTCCATCTTTTGAATAAAAATTTCTCTGATGTGGGATAATTCCAAGACAAATATTTTCCCGCAATTGTTTTTAATAGATATAAATGAGTCATATATTTGTATTGCTTGAAGTTTTGAAATGAGGCCAATTTCATGCAAGTAGCACTTTAACATAAAACTTAAATATATATTGAATTAAATCGTATGAGGAAGTGGCTGATCCCATTAAAGAGTGCTCAATACACATAAAGTGTAGAGATAGTATATATATGATATCAAAAAGGCAAGATTTTGCTGTAACTCCGATGTTACTGTCTGATGAGTACGTAGCACGAAACTCGGAGTTACAGCAAAATCTTGCCTTTTTGATATCATATACACAAATTATATATATTGAATGAAATAATATAAAAATTAGGTAAAACCTAATAGCGGAGCTCCCAAAAGATATGCATGTTGGATGAAGATGTGATGCAAGACACATTGGTCAGATTTTGAGGACATGTTTTGTCAAGACTAATTTATTTTTGCTAACAAAAAATGGCACTACATTAAATAATTATTAAACTTTTTTTCTTCAGCTTTGTTGATTAATTATATGTAAAGAAAACCACTTATTTTGAATTCTTGTGGTTATTTACCAATGGCCGACACTAATTAGCATTTTATCTCTCAATTCATAATGTTGACAAAAGAAAACACTCAAATGGTAGATATCAAAACCAAAGATAAACTCTGAAAGTTTCACAGAAAAATATTAAATCCTCTGGAAGTTATAAGAGTTAGAAGAGATACGAAAACACCAAAACGAGGCTACCCAGTCATCAGCAAAGAATTCCATACAAATCCCTGTGTTTTTATTCCTCCATAACTTTGTTAGTATTTAGTTTATGGCTTTAAAACTTTCCATGAATACCTATTTCTAATAGTTCTTCCATATGACAGTGTTGAATGGTTCCATAATTATTATAAACTGTATAAATCGATGGTGGGCACTTATGAAAGTGGTCTATAATCTTACAGAAATCATAAATTAATATTAATTATTAATATATTTTGAAACTTTGACATTTTTTAAATGCATTTTGACAGTTTTGGTATTTTTCCATCATTAAAAGAATCATAAAATAATAACAAATGCATTTTGACAGTTTTGAAATTTTTCAATCATGCAGAAATAATAAAAATAATAACAAATGCATCTTTATATGTCAATAGAAATTGTTTGCAATTTTGTTGTTTTAAATTCTTAATAGTTGGTATTTTTTAGTCTCCTTCGCAGCCTACCCTACCCGACAAAAGGGTAGGCTGCGAAGGAGACTAGGTATTTTTCAACCTTTACAGGAATCATCAAATAATATAAATGCATTTTGACAGTTTTGGTATTATTCAATCATGCAGAAATCATAAATTAATAATTAATATGTTCTTGAAATGTTCAAACTTTTTAATCTTCTAATGATTATGTAACTACAGACTTTTGCTTACACCAATAGACAGAACATTACAGCTGTCTTCAAGTTTTGAATTTATATATCCCACGAGTTTGCACAATATTTCCATGCACCCATAATCACACAGGAATGATAAATAATAATAAATACATTTTGGCAGTTGATATTTTTCAATCATACAGTGATCCCAAAAAATGATTTATGGGTCATTTATGCAATTTGACAGTTTGGTGGTTTTTCAATCACACAGGAAACATACGTAATAATAATTTAATCACACAGGAATGACATATTTAATCAATACATTTGACATACAGTGATCATAAATGATAAGTAATAAATACATTTTGACAGTTTTGTAAACAAAGGAATCATAATGTT